ACACACACACACACACACACACACACACACACACACACACACACATACACACATGCACACACACACGCACACGCACACGCACACGTTTATCATGGTCACAAGAAGAAAAATAATAATAATTAAACATACTAGTTGATTTTTTGCTTCTTCAGCACATATACTAAAATTAGAACAATACAGGCAGGGAGAGGTAGAGAGAAGAAACAAAGGAAAGAATGTGAGAAGGAAGAAAGGAAAGAAGAAAAAAAAGAGTTTTAAGAGTTTGACATATTAACAACTCTGTACTACAACTCTAAACAAGGAAACAACAGGAATTTGTAATTTCTTATAAGATTGTTAATGTTTTCTCATTTCTATAAAAATTCACTCTTTTTTTTCATGATAGGAGTACTGAAGTGCATGGAACATAAGAAAATAAAAAGATGTCATTATGTGTCTATATTTACTAATATTTTATTCAGAATTTAAAATTTTGCTTGAGCCACCAGCCCTTTAAATTAATAAATTTACTTCAAAATTAACAATTGCTACAGCTCTGCCCATCCCCCAATTTTCACTAGTGTCCCAAAATAATGATGTTTTAGACATAGCATCTCTGTCTCTTATTAGTTTTCTAAGATAATCCTTAATTTCCTGGCTGTTATGTTGTGATACTCATTTCAGTTAAAGATAATTTCTATTAGGTTTCACAAATTGAATGCAAAGTTGATTGACATTTTGCCCCTTTTGTCACAGTCTAGTGTCTAGAACCCATTTATACCCAGGCTGGATAGTCTCTTACGAAAATATACTTTTTTCCTAATTAGTGTTGACAAGTATCAATGGGAAATGGGAGCTTGTTACTACATTCTGTGTAGGTGATGTGCCCAACTCCTTTTCTAGCCTTTTACTTAGTTGGTGCTCTTTCAGGTATCAGAAAGAAATCATATTATGTCATTTGGGCTACTATTTTTTAATGAATATTTATGCTGAATGAAGAGAAAATATATATATTTAAATTTTTAATCACTATTAAAACATCAATTATTATATTATGTAATGATTCATTCATTAACTACAACAAAACTCAGATGGTGTTTTTCTTCAGTTAGCAACCACAACTTGGGAGATTTATTAAGCTTTGTTATAAAAATAACCTTCAAAAGTTCTTCTTGTGGTCTCTCCTCTCTTCTATCAATTTTCTAATATTTAGTGAATTAACATTTAGTGAATCAATTAAGCAAATCTGTTCTGAGCATTTGATGATGAATTATGAAACAATAAATTTTGATTAAGCATATCTCTTTTGTAATGTAAATCAACAGGAAGCACAGTTGACATATTGGTTATATTGTTAAGAAGATTTTGAAAAACTAAAGTCATCAAAAGAATAAACTTTATATACTTGAGAAATTACTATATTTAGGATTTTTATGATGTTCTTTTTAATTACAAAATAAAATATAAATTTAATTTTAAATGTTGTGTGTAGATAAAGAGTTTTTGTTTATTTGCTTGTTTGTGAAGGTATATTCTCTCCTTGGAGAGAAAAGAAATCCAAATTTTGACTAGGCATGTGACCACTCTAATAACATTTTTCAATATCCCTTCAACTTGGTAGGCATGTGACCTAGTTCTGGCCAAAAGGGTATATGATGATGGACAATTTCCTCCTTAGAGTACCAAAGAGCAGTGCTTATGTTCCACCTGAAATCTTCCCTTCATCTCTCTCAGAAAGATAATGACTGGAAAGGTGTTTGGGGCCCAGGAATGGTAGCTCTGGTTCCATGTTTAGAAGATGGTAGATCTGTGTGAAGAGCTCTCTGCCTTATTTCTACACAACAATGGAAAATGGGTCGAATTTTCAACATGCATGTGTAAACCTTTGCTCTTATTCTTCCTAAGACCCTTCCTTCCCAACTCTTGCACAGGTATTAGGTCTTCATTGTGGTGTGAAAAAGTTTCTCATACCTGTTCCTTATCAATTAAAGGCTTTTCATGGAATAAATCTCTGCTACAATTACTCCTTTCTGTGTGTGCTTCTTGCAGGATACAAGTAACACAATGAATTCCGTCTCCTCACCTTGAGGAATAAAAGATCACTTCCAATACTATCATTACTATTTTATTGCTCACATTAAAAAATATTTAATATGAACTACACTCCTACATTAAACACAGGATCATAGAAAGATCTGAAGATGAGAGGTGAAAGAAGTTAATTATTTTAGGTAAGCCTGGATGAATCAGAATGACTTTTTCTTCTCTGAGAAATGAATGAGACAATTTTGCTGCACAGCAAACAGAACCAAAGAATGTATTCGTTTTACAAAGTTTATGATCACTACCAGCATCTTCATTCTGACAATCAATTATCAGTACAAAACTTTGTAGAACTCAGGTAGACAATACAAAAAAAAAAAAAGGAAAATTGAAAATTGATTAACTTCCAAGAATTTTCTATTAAGGAAGTTCTGATAATAGAGTTAAGGGAAGAATCTAGGATATCACCCCAATGAAAGCAACATTTAGCTAACTTTCTTAGTTTTTTCTTTAGCTGTAAAATGTTAAAACATTCGAAGATACAGAAAAGCTTAAAATGTGTTTTATTATTCTATTCCAAAGTTTGATTTGTGTTAGGAAAAATAAATAATCATTGACTGGATTAAAAAAAATATCGGCCATGGATATTGTTTTTCTCCAGTTGAAGCTAGAAGAAAATTTACTCACCTCTTCTGCATGGATCCCACACAGCTTGCTTCCTGACAAAAGTTTGTTTTTCAAGCTTTTATTCTGTGGAAAGAAAAATGGTTTTATGCTCAAAAGTAATAAGATACTAAGAATTTCCTTAGTTTTACCAACAACATTATGTTTAGTTCATAGGCTAGATCTTCGTGATATATAGAATTTGTAAAAAGCTGAATTAAATCTGTAATGTAAAATAGAGTTCTTTTTATTTAAACAAAAATTTTATGTACTAGTATTAACACATTCATTTAAAAAGATAAAACTACTTAGCCTCTCGTTTATTTTTATTTTAGTATAGTTATGTTTATGATTTTCTAAAGTAATATCAGTTACAAATCAGTAATGCCTGGTGGTTTCTTAAAGCACCATTTGAAGTGCAGGCATTTATTCCCACTGCCATCTCTGCTGGTCATCTTGTATGCTATCATAGTCTTCATTCCCTCTGACAGTCATAGCTTTAGATTTCTCTACATCCCTTATCTCTGGACATTGCTCTTAAAGGTCTCTTTCAGAAGCATTTTATACCCCACCTTAGAGGTGTGCTTTCTCTGTTGAGTGTAAGTACAGACAGATCTGTTAACCTATTTAAGTTTCTCATAATTGGTGCAGGTTAATAGGAAAAAAACTTGTTCTCTAATACTACTTCTTAATCATCCAAATACACACACACACACACACACACACACACACACACACACATACAAACACATACACACACATATAATATATATATATATTTTTTCTTTTTTTCCTTTTTGGTTCTGGGGATAAAATCCAGGGTCAGGAGAATGCTAGAGAAGTTCTCTACAACAGAGATACCTACATTCTCAGCCCTACAACTAGAGATATTTATTTATGTCTCTTACACACAGATTTTTCTGTCTTTTGCCCCAGTAACTGAGGAACAAAGACCAGATGGTCAAACTAACACATACACACACACAAAAAAAAAACAGAAATTTGAAAAGCACACAGAATTTAGATCTCATAATGACTCCAATGGGTAAAGTTGTAAAATGGGAAAGCATGCTTTTTTTTTTAACATAATACATAATGACTCTAAAGATGCTCAATTTGATGAGTAGCTTGAGCAAACTGTACAAAATCAAATGTAGACGAAACAAACAAATGAATGGGCATATTAAATTTAAGAGATCTCCACCATAATTCCTATGTGATCATTTTGGTTTTCTTCCATTAAATTTTCAAAATTTTAATTTATTCTTTTAATGGTACAATATGACTATATAAAAAGTAGGATTTGTTGTGACATACTTGTATATGCACATAATTTGGTCAATTTTATTTCTTATATGATTTCAAACATTGTTTCCTATTTTGTTTCCCTTTTATGCTTTAACAGAGTGCAGATGTCCTGTTTGAAAGTTTGTTTACTTTCCTCTGTAGTTAATTGTTGAAATTCTGGACAGCTCATTTAGAATTTTAGTACAGTGAAATATTTTACATACACAAGGAGAGCGTTACATTGATTCATTCAGGTGAGATTCTTTGGGGAATAACTGTACTTATACAATGATGCATAAGATTAATGTTTGTGAGGAGAATCTAATGTACATTATTCCTACATTTAGAAATATGACAGGTTCCGAGTTTCCGGGTGGACGCGAGAGGCAGGCTCTGCGGCCCGCAGACTGGGCCATGGAGAAGTTGCGGTGCGTCCTGAGTGGCCAGGACGACGAGGAGCAGGGCCTGACCGCGCAGGTCCTGGATGCCTCATCTCTTAGTTTCAACACCAGATTGAAATGGTTTATCATATACTTTGTGGCTGGCATTTTCTTTTCTATCCTTGGAACTGCATTGCTGTGGCTTCCTGGCGGCATAAAGCTTTTTGCAGTGTTTTATACCCTTGGGAATCTTGCTACATTAGCCAGTACGTGCTTTTTAATAGGACCCGTGAAGCAGCTAAAGAAAATGTTTGAAAAAACTAGAGTACTTGCAACAGTCATTATGCTTCTCTGCCTCATATTCACCCTGTGTGCCGCTCTTTGGTGGCATAAGAAGGGACTGGCCTTACTATTCTGCATATTGCAGTTCTTATCAATGACCTGGTATAGTCTGTCGTACATCCCATATGCAAGAGATGCGGTACTTAAATGCTGCTCTTCTCTTCTAAGTTGAAAATCAGAAACTGCTCCTGGAAAAGCACCTTGGGATGCTGAGAGTCCCTTGCTAGTGAAGCACACTATTCCTGGTGCAGTGGTCACTCCAGCAACAACCACAGGACACCGTAAGCCCTTCTGCATACTGGTCAGACCACACACTCAGTTAAAAAGCTAAATGTGCCTAGCTTTAACTTTGCTGTATCATTAACATGCTCTTCCAAAGATAAAGAGATTTTAATCATTGCCAATTTTAAATAATTTTAGCCAGTTTTTTAAATCTTTTCAAAACAACTTTTAAAATGTGAATATTTAAGGGAGAAATCTGTGCTGTGAGAGATCCTTAGCTTATTTGGCTTTTTAAAAGTGTCTATGTTTTTAAGACATCCTTTTTTAAAAAAACTTTAAAAATGTGAAACTTTTTACTGTAAGCTTAAAATTGCTTATTACATGTAATAAAAATAATATATGTGTATATATCTTTAAAATTTGAAATAAACCCATCCTTGGAAAAAAAGAGAAAGAAATATGACAATAAAAGGCTATATGCCGCTATATTCTAACTCTCTAATGTTGCTTCAATTGTAGAGCAAACCAGATCTCTTTAGGACTCAGATAAGTACAAATAGTAGGATGACTTATGTACCAAAACAAAGAACCCACACCTCAGTGGCTTTATTAGATATGAGAAATGACTACAAATTAATGGCGGCAATAATGTATTTAAACATTGGTCTCTGTACTCTGTACTACTTAAAATTTGCAACTCCACTTAAGATTAATTTGTCCTTTCTTCTTTATTTTTCTTCTCCCTCAGTGTCTGAAAAAGAGGATGCTGCAGTAGGTTCTGAAGATTGATTTGAATAGTGAAGATCATTATACATACTAATTTCAATTCTTTAAAAATGATATAGATTGATATTTGCCTGAGAAACAAATATGCATTTTAAAAATGATAGACTATAAATCACCAGTTTTCAAGATGTTATTTATCATTTATCTCTGATTATATGATTTAATTCTAAAAATAAATGGTTCTTTTTTTTTTTTTTTTCCTTGTGGTGCTGGGGATTGAACCCAAGGCCTTGTGCATGCAAGGCAAGCACTATACCAACTGAGCTATATCCCTAGCGCTAGACCATTTTTTATTGGTTTGGAACAGTTTTTTTTTCAGTAAAATGAATATGTGTCTCCCACATTTATAGATTCATAAGCAGTGCTAAGCATCCTACAGAATTTACAAGGTTTTCCCTGTGCCACTAAGATGATCAAGTATTGATATTGTGGCAATATGGGTTGAATAAAATTAAACAGATTTATTTTCTGTGAAATTCTTAGAGCCTTTATTATAATATTGTTTATGGTAAAAAATGTTTTTCTATAATTTTTTAAAAGTGGGTTATTTTTTACTAGAGCATTTATCTTTCACTAGAATTCGAGGAATATCATTATAAATATTAACAGATGTTAGGTATTAATAAAAGAGGCAAAAAGAATCACACTAATATATTTTGTTGGAATTTAGGTCATCTTTTTTTTATTTTTATAATATTCAAGAAAAAAAATTAAACATGTTACAATGGTTAAAAGAAGATTTTTTTTTCAGAATTTTTGTAATAAGTGTTGAGAGTTTTAAAATAAAAAGGAAAGATGGGACTCGACTCCTAATACAGCAAAGACAGCTGAAAATGCAGTCAATAAACAGAATTAGGAGGGTCAAGGGATGGAAATTTTTCACTAGGAGCCATTACCCTGGATAGGTTATTGCTAAACAAACTTCACAGGATTCTTGGTGAAGGCACAATATTAAGAGTAGGGATGAAGAATTAGGTTGCATTCAAATATCATGGGTGAGGGATCTCCCTAAATTGATTTAGCAGAATTCCTACTACAACTGGACAAGGCAGACCAAAGACAAGGCTCAGTCTAATAAGAAGGTTCAAAGGAATCAGTGTTAGGTTTAATTGAAGAGTCTTGGTAGAGTTTTCATTTTGTATCTAAAAAATCTGCTCACCTTAAAGTCCAAAAGAATTTTACTTAAACTTTTCCCTAGAATTGTTAGTTCTTGATTGTGCACTTATGTGTAATTTTCATTAAGTTAACCTGCTCCTTTAAACACAGGTTTCCAGGTACTTGAACAGCAGCTGGTGAAGTGACTCTTCTTTGTGTACTGACATATCTAAGAGCCTTTTACAAAAATCAGTTGAGCAAATAACTTCTTGGGCCGTTATGGAACATTAGGCAACAGACCTTCCTTCTTGCCATGAACAAGTACACAACCAGATCAAATATACTAAGCAAATGTTTCAGACATGACAACAACTGTCAGATCATGGTCCCAGAAAGAGTAGCAAAAAGTTAAAGAACTTTGCGATCTCTGGCTTTCTATCTAGAGGCAATTTATGAGTTATAATGCAAAAGAAAAAGCCAGAAAGAATACAGAAGTTTTGATAAATATTGAGAAGTGTCTGACATTAGAAGAAGTTTGTCAGGAAGAATTTGTGTGACAATGTACCAGAGTGTTGGGATCAATGTAGAAAAAGAACTTCAGATTTTTAGTGGGTCCCCTTATTCCTTTATATGAATGGAAAATTGCATTTGTATAAAGTGACCTGCAACAACAACAGTTAAGAACCAGTAGGAAAGAACTGCAAGGTGAAAAATCATTAGCACTTATATGAACATTCAGTTTCCAATCAGTCAAAATCAAAAGACTTAACAACTAAGGTGTTTAGTAAAGAACTCAGAAGGGACTGACTTAAAAATAGAGCTAAATTAATTTAGGGAGCAGGGACAGGGAAAAGTGAGAGAAAGAGCAAGTACTGGGAATGCAAACAGAGTAAATTACATTCCATACATGTATGATTATATCAAAATGAAGCCCACTATTATGTATAACTATAATGGATTAACAAAAACTCATTT